GAAAGACATTGTATATGATGTTTCTAACCTACAAACTGACTTTTTTTCTTAGAATCGTCTACAGGCAAAGATTACAAATAACAATTACATGGATCTCAACCACCTCATGTTTACAAATATCAGGATCTTCGGAATGGACAAGGAGCCAACAAACTTTGTTGTCTTATCTAACAGTGCTACCACCCCCATTTCAAGCACTGTTTACAATGCTGCCAAACAGGTGAGGAGTTCTTCCATCACAGAGGGCCCTCACGGAAAGCTCTGGCTTGAGATTCCGACAGGGCTTTGGGCAGACACAGCGATTGTTGGCTTTTTGAAGGAGACATCATATCATAGGGAGATGGTAGCGCTACTTGTGTGTAAAAATATGGTTCCCTCAACTTGTATGCATCAGGGCTTGGAAGAAGACAGAAAGAGTCGGGACTTTAAGAGAACAGAGAATGCTTTTGGCCAATTTAAAAATCCATACGCTGATCTCACAAGTAACAGAGAAGAGAATGGTCCATATATTGGTCTAGTTCTGGAGAGTAGTTACACTGTATCAGTCAACCTTCCTGTTACAGGCATCAAATACTTGATATCATCATTTAATGAAGGGGAGGCTTATTTAGTTTGCAGTTTCAGAGGGTTCAGTTATGGTCAGAAGGCCCTGACAGAGAAGAGCTGCTCAACTCCTGACAGCCAAGAAGAAGAAAGAAAGCATGAGTCAGAGAAAGAGATGTATCCTCCAAGGTCACTATTCTTGTGGCCTACCCCACCCCAGCCAGGCCCCACCTCCTGACAGCACACACAGCTATGAGCTCATTGATGGAATAATTTATTGATGACAATAGCACCTTATTTTGGTTATTTTGTTGTTGTTGGGACAACATAGATGATGCCCAAAGTTAAGGAAGGAAAGGTTTATTTAGCTCACAGTTAGTGGAGGTTTTAGTCTATATTTGGCTGGCTCCAAGGCGGAGAGGCACATGGCAGAGGGCAGCAGCTTGTGGCAGCAGAAAACTGTAAAGAGCAAAGGGGAAGAGCAGTGGCTGTGGCAGCTAGCGGGCTTTGTTTTTACTTTATTTTGAATTTAGTCTATCTGCCCCAGGGTGGGTGCAGCACTCATACCCATAATCTCTGCATTGGATCATGAATTGATCACAGACTCTAGAAGCCTGTCTCATTGACTGCATGAGGCTTTGCGGGGACATCTAGACACAAGCCATAACATTCCACCTCTCGCCCCCCCCCCCAAGACTTCTGTACATTTCTTGATGTAAAAGGCATTTTAGTCCATCTCTAAGAGATGCCAAAATCCTAACAGTTTTAGCCTTGCTGAAAAGTCTAATCTGTAAGTCTCTGTTAAGATCTAAGGCAAACTCTTAGCTGTAAGCCCCTGTATAAATGAAAAGTTAAACACTTTTAACATCTAATGGCACAAGAAAACATTATTATTTTAAAAGATATAAGCAACAGGATTCAAAGCATTTGGATCAAAGCTAGTCTAAAATCTAGAAAGGCCCATTAAATCCTGTAGGTCCATGTGAAACATCTAAAGAAATCTGTGGCAAATTGTGAGCTCTACACTGGCCAAGCAATGGCCATGACTCATCCACATGGCTGTACTGATAAAGGTTCTACAATCTGAGGTACAGGATCTCAGGACAAATCCTGAGGGCATTTCACTGACCTTCTCAGACCAAAAAGCTACAACTCTTGT